AGCATCAGAGTAAATTTTTGTCATTTTCAAAAATGAAAAGTAGCATATGTTTTTTTTTTATTTTTTACAAATTTTCACATTTGGTTTAAAATTATCTAAAATATTGTAAAGAAATACATAAAAATAGGCAATATATGGCAAACATAATTTTGGCAGGACATGTTTTATTGATTCTAGCCTGTATGTACGACTGGAAGTATTTCTTGGATATCCACTGACTTCTGTCAAAGAGACTCGACACAAAGACAATTGTCTACGTCCGCTTATTACGTTTTGAATCAATCGAATATACACTTTATGCTTTACCTCAGGTAACTGTAGAATATAAAATGGACGACGGAGCTACAGTTCCATTGCGTGTTCACAATGTCTTGATGTCTACTCAGCATGCTGAGAAAGTATCAAACGAGCAAATTAGGCAAGATTTAATGGACAAAGTTGTGAAGGAAGTAATTCCTTCCAAATACCTCGATGATGAGACTGTTTATTATTTGAATCCTTCTGAAATGTTCACTCAAGGTGGAACTAGGGTAAGTTTTCCCAAGAACTAGAAATACTTCCCCACCCCTGACTTAAATACTGAATACTTCAGTCCCTAATGTAATAGGAAGGGAGTTGGAGGGGCAAGTGACCATAAGGAAGTCTTGCCTTCGAATTAGATCCACACATGACTATGCAGTACTACTTAACACTTCATTTACAAAAATAAATATTTGTGTTGTATTTTGTAATTAACTGTATTTGGATAAAATCGCACAAATTTTAATTTCACTTGAAATAAATTTTATTAAACACATAAAAATATCAACAAAGGATTTTGGCATAACATTGCGCCATTTTTTATCTGGCCTATTCGATGATTTGTAGAATAATTAGAATAAACATGTACTGTATAAAAGTTCCTTTTTCGATCACTGCGAGATCTTACGTTATGCATGAAAACAAACATGTAGCGATATTTTGTGATGTTTGTCTAATGTTTCTTACTGCAAATCTCAAAAATTTGCAATTGTAGTTTCAGTAGTTCATAGTATCAAATCATCCCTGCCCATTCTTGTGAGTGACAAACTAAATCTTCATGTTCACAAGATATAGCTGAATTCTCGGCCTAGATTTATAGGATGTTTTTATCATCAACGAAATGTTTAAGTTCAAGTTTTTTACCTGTAGAGTGACGCTGGTTTGACTGGAAGAAAAATTATCGTAGATACTTATGGTGGTTGGGGAGCACATGGCGGTGGCGCGTTTTCTGGTAAAGACTGCAGCAAAGTGGACAGGTCTGGGGCATACGCTGCACGATGGGTTGCCAAGTCGCTGGTCAAAGCAGGTCTCTGTAGACGTTGTCTATTCCAGGTATGTTGTGCGAGGTTCTTTCTAGAACATGCTACATCCAACTACTAGTGAATTAAGTAACAATAGTGGTAAAAAATAACTAAAGAAAACAGTTTCCTTGTGTGATTTGCATTTTGCGATCCACCTTATACACCAATGAAGGGTACAATTTCATGCTGGCGCTGTTTGGGCGTTATCCATGGCAACACATGTGGCTACATACATTTTTGTTATTTTCTTGCAATCTATTGTTCAGCAAGAATGTTAATGTGAATTGTTCCCCACCCAATTGAATGACATTTCTGAAAAGTTATTTGAAAATTTACTTATTTCAAGAGGAGCACATCTAAACCAAAAGAAATGTGCATTTTTTCATTTTCTCTTTTCCTGTGCATTTCTCTAATTCTAAATTGATTGACAAAAGTATAAGCAATGTTGCCTATATATTAACTTACATAAATGCAATGCCAAATGGAATGTTTGGGCAATTTGATCAAATGTTGGTCTCAATTTGACCGCAGTTCAAAAGTGGGGACTTGTTTTGTTTTGACTCTAATGCATGCTTCTGTGCGTCCATACCTGTATCTCTCACATGTCTGATCAACCATCATTCAAACTTCACAAATGCAATACGTATCTTGGCAACATATGCACGTCCATTCGTTTCATGACCTGATTCAAGATGACCGAATGCGGGCCAGTGAGTTATGACAAATTGAAATGAGGTTGACATGGGCTGTGAGTTATGGACAAATTGAAATGGGTTGACATGGGCTGTGAGTTATGACAAATTGAAATGGGTTGACATGAGCTGTGAGTTATTTCAAATTGAAATGGGTTGACATGGGCTGTGAGTTATCACAAATTGAAATGGGTTGACATGGGCTGTGAGTTATCACAACTTGAAATGGGTTGACATGGGCTGTGAGTTATGACAAATTG